GAAAATTTTATCTGAATTCTCTTTTTTCAATTCTTGGGGAAAAAAAACGAAAAAGGAGCCGTTTTCTCATTTTTCTACTTTCAATATTAAACCAAAAAACGAATGATCGAATGATACACGGATTATACACGGACCACTGTCCCTGTCATTGCTGCTGTCATTCACAAAGCACATCTGTAGATTCACCCCATTCTAAAGCCTATAGTGACAGTGCAGTGAGAAAAGATGAAGGATTGATTATTTATTTATTTGTTTAATTTCAGATTTTATTTAATGTGAGATCTTTTTATTAACAGTTTGTTGTTGACCTTTTTATTTCAGTGCTGTTCATTGTATATTCAAGATTTGTAGTCTGAAATAAGCATAAATTAAAAAAAAATCTGAAAAAAAATGTTTGGCAGAAAAGAAAATACATTCATGCAAATATATATACATGCAATATGGGAGAGATGAATATACATTTTAAAGATTTAATTTACATAACTCATGTGCCATTGGTTGTTGACCTTTTATTTAGATGCTTTTCATTGTATTTTAAAGATTTTGTATAGTCTGACATTGTTGTTGCATAAATAAAAAGAAATGTAGATAAAGAAAGGTTTGGCAGAAAAAAATGCAATGTGAGAGACATATATATTAATTTAGAAAATTTAATTTACATGACTGATGGTCAACAATGCAGCTTTCTGCTATTTTACACGATCACACTGTCATTGTGTAATTTGCTAAATGGATATTGTATTTTGCAGTGGGGTGGAATACACAACAAGACCCTTAAATTATACTCTTTAGAATGCATTTTGATTAGTAATCTATCAGTGTTATTTGAGAAAAAGAACCAACTTATTTTTTTGTAGTAATCTGTTTTTAAAGTATAACTCTAAAATAAGAACTTCAGATAGAATTTACTGAAAAGAGAAAGAAAGAGTGAAAGTTCTATTTTTAGTGTCTGTGAACTGCAGTGATATACATTTCCCACAGAAAGCTGTGCATTAAACTTTTCTCTTCAGTTGCAATATAATTTTGTGGTTATTGATATTCAAATAACACATTGGCTATAGGCTTCAATTGAAGTCTAGAAATGAAGTCTTCACTGGCAGAGTGTACTCCTGTAGTTCCCTTTCAGTCGGTCACTCTCGACGTCACGTCGGAGGACCGACAAAATTGGGATCTCGCTTAGAGGGACCAATCTACTTCGAGTGTAAACTAAACGAGCCAATGCACATTGGCATGCGATTATTGCATCCAGCTGCTGCTGATCACAGCGTGAGTATAAGTAGGCAGCAGGTGCAGCGCATATTCAGCTTTTTGCTTCGGAGCCGAGCGATCACATCATTCTGCTCCTGAATACTCTACTGAGAGAAAAGACTGAACGAGTTCAGCGCGCTCTTGAAGAGCTCTCCGTGTTGGTGGACGGCGCTTCAGCGGTGGTGGTTCCCGTGTCGAGTGGGTTGCACACATCAGGCTGCACTACCCCCTGTTTGTGTTGCAGATGATCATCTCCCCTGTGTGCCTCAGCACGCTAAAAGAGCTTTTTCCCCTAAAAGAGCAATTTCGGGTGCGTCTTTCTAAAGACGACGTTGCTTAGCAAACTTGACGTTACGTCTTTATAAAGACGATGTGGATCTTGCTATAGACAACGTATCACCCAAGCGTTTCTGGATGCGGTCGTTACCTGGTGCTGGGTGATGGTCACGATGCCGCGGGGCCTTCGCAAGTATGCATTTCCCCTAGTGAGCCTTCTGGCACAGTTGCTGTGCAAGGTCAGGGAGGAGGAGGAGCAGGTCCTGCTGGTGGTCTATTTGCCTTCCCGGACCTGGTTCCCAGAACTAATGTTCCTTGCGACAGCCCCTCCTTGGCCGATTCCTCTGAGGAAGGATTTACTGACTCAGAGACGGGGCACCCCTTGGCCCCGCGTCCAGACCTCTGAAAACTTCATGTCCGGTCCCTGGACGGGACGCAGAGGTTCTGAGTGGCCTACCCCAAGAGGTAGTTGACACCATCACTTCAGCGAGAGCGCCTACGCTTGAAGTGGAACCTGTTCGTTGAGTGGTGTTCTTCTCGCCGAGAAGACCCCCGAAGATGCCCGATCTGAGTTGTGCTGTCCTTTTAGCAGCAAAGGGGTAGAGCGAAGGCTGTCTCCCTCCACCCTTAAAGTTTATGTTGTTGCAATCGCTGCTAACCACAACCCCGTAGAAGGAGTTCGTGGGGGAAGCATGACCTGGTCGTCAGGTTCCTTAAGGGGGCAATAAGGTTAAATCCTCCACGGCCCCCCCTCTATTCCCTCGGGGGATCTGACTCTGGTGCTCACGGCACTACAGCAGGGCCCATCTGAGCCTTTTGCAGGCGGTTGATTTGAAGTTCCTCTCAATGAAGACTTTGCTCCTGCTAGCATTGGCCTCCATCAAGAGGGTAGGGGATCTGCCCGCATTTTCGGTCAACGATTTGTGCCTAGAGTTCGGGCCGGCTGATTCCCAGGTAACCCTGAGGCCCCGGCCCGGCTACGTGCCCAAGGTTCCCACTACTCCCTTCAGGGATCAGGTGGTGAACCTCCAAGCGCTGCCCTCGGAGGAGGCAGACGGTATGAGACTGGTTCTGTGGTATCTCTTGTTTATATTCTGTGAAATATGCGCTGTGGAGTGGAGTGCGGGAAAATACTGTATGCTCTTAGATTTTAATGCTCATTGGACTTTCCTTTGCTTGGATTTCTAGGAACCTTGTTGAAACGCAGATGCAATACAAGAAAAGACCCAGAAAACAGCAACTCTAACACTAACACACATGCCCAGTCCATGGATTTGTGATGCAATAAAATGTCATAATATGAAGTAAGTGATCAATGGTAAGAGGTTTCTGTCTTTATTAAGAGAAAGCACTAAAAATAATAATTGTACTCTACATACAGTAATTATGCACATACTTGTATAGTACAGATTAAATAAAGAAACAAAATTAGCAATATACCAGGCATATTTATTTGTCATGTATTTGCTATTCATTCCCTGAGTCAACATTTCAGACTCTCTGTTTAAACGTCATATTCTCCCATTTACACTGTTCTTTACAATCAGATTAATAGTAGAACAAAGATGAATAAAAATAATCCTGATAAAAACAATAGCATTCCCAGCACTTTTTGCAAATAAGTGTAATTTGATAAATGAATGAATAAATAAAGATAATAAGAATAAATTAAATATATACACACACACACACACACACACACACACACACGTATATACAATTTTCCTTCTCAAAGGGCTCCAAACATTAAACAATAAGCACAGCAGACTAAAATAGCCACAAAGTCAGATTTTTTTCCCCCTTTTTTTTCTGTCAAACATTTGTTTGAACAAACAGTGGAAACAAAGTACACTCAGATGTTAAGTGCGAAATGGGGTTGACTGCTCAAGTTTCCATGAATTATATGCTGAGAACAAATTAGATATTTGATATGCAGTGAGATGATTACAAGCCCAGCCCACAAAGATTGAAGTGCCTCATGGTGAAACTGGACAAATGGTGCTTCGTCATCTAGTGGCAAATGGGACAACACCAAAATTATTATCTGCTGATTTTTTGATAACTACATTATCAAAAGTTTGGAATAAATGTGATTTTTAATGTTGCTGAAAGAAGTCTTTAATGTTCAAAGACCGCATTTATTTAATTAAAAAAAATACCATAAAAACAGTAATATTGTGAAATATTATTACAGTTTAACAGGATGTTTTAGCAGCAGCCAGTAAAGGTCACCGGCTAATGGACTCCCTCTCATTCTTCTGGGCCTTACGAAAACACAGTTCACTTCAATAAATGAAGAGAACGCTCACAGATACAGTCTCACAGCATGTAGTGGGCCACAGAATACCTCGCAGCCAGGAATATTTGATGTGGCATTTTAAAATAGATGTCATCCACTTTCATACAGCTACCTACAGCGGCTAATGAATGCTCATGACAGTTTAAATAACGTGCTGGATTTCAAGGGCATGAAGGTATTGGTGTGGAAAAAAGAGACAAGCTGATGCTGGGAGTGTGGATAGGAATGTATAATATAAATTCTAATTTTGTGCTTATGTCAAAATCACTGCTGCCTCAATGAATGGCAAATTACAGATTAAGTGATGAAAATATTTCTAAATGTTCTCTGAGTGTTCAAAACCGTTTTTAAACGTTTGCAAACACTCCGGTTATCATTTTGCAAACATTATGGGAATGTTACTTTTGATATGTTCCCTGAACATTTTGAAACCACTTGTAATATATTTTTTTAAATGTTACAAGAACATCCAACAAAAACATCTCTGAAAAACGCTTTTGCGTTAATGTTTTAAAAACATTAAAACCAGATAACTTTGAACAAACGTTATATTAATGTGACAGGCAGGACATTTGTAAATCAAAGATATCCTTGCCAGAATGTTAGTCAAAGTTCTGAGAACTTTCTCGGTTAGATGGGTAAATACACAACTGTGCAACCATTCCTGATGTGATGCTATATTGGCAAGACGAAAATGTTCTCTCGAATCTTCATACTACGCTCAATTTATTGCCATGGCAACACAGTTGCCTTCTGGTGCTCAGAATGACTAACATAAAAAAAAATGCTTTGCACTAAATTCCAGTACAATCATAAGGACTACTGTGGTGAACGTCAGTAACTTTCCCTTCCTACATCAATAGGCATACCTATTTTTCTCTACCCTTCTGCCCACATTCCATCTTCAGGCTGATTGCAGGCCAGTTCCACTGATATTAACATTTTGATAAAAGAATACATAGGGTAGAGGTGAGGCTGATTCATGATGCACTCAAAAACTACAGAGGCAAATGAGAAACACTAATAACTCAGCTTGTGATGCAATATTAACAATCGGTAAACCAGGTTTACAATAGTCTTAATGTTAACAGCTAGATTTGACTGCTTTCATTAGACGATGAGATGTTGCCACTAGCCTAGCAGTTAATGTTAAACAAAAACAATCATCCAGACAAAATTAAAAAAAAAAAGACATTTGATTTATTGAATTGTTTGAGAGAACAAAAGGACAAAATTAATGAGCAGGAGTCACCCCATACACAACATATTCGCATTAAATCAGGAGGCAATCTTTCTCAAAGCCACATGCAGCACATTGCCAACCCAAGTCTAAATAGCGGCCCTCAGTCCTCATTCATTTCACGGGAAAGACTTGGGATCCAATTCGGAAAAACACACAAATTTAAGAGCGAATGGTTCTTTTTCATAACTCGTATAAATGGGGGGTTTATAGTATTGGGGTGGCTCTTTGAGAGGCTGGTTAGCTAAAGGTTGGCATTCAGCAGCTGCAGTTATAGTACAGGGTTGAGGAGTGGTGGTTATAGGTGATGCGGTAGGGGATTTTGGAGGCTGCACTGGGTATTGTGGATAAAACTGTTGCAAATAAAGAGGGTACACTGTGGGTTGCGGTTTCTGGCTTATTGCGGGTGAATCTGGTGGGGGAGAAGTGGGGATGGCTGGAGCTGGTTTCAAAGTGGGAGTTGGTTTGCCATGATAATCGGGGTAGTAATATGGCCACATCATATGGGGGTGCTTTGGAAATTGAGGGTTCTGGTTTGGTGCTTGGACATCTGTAGAAGATTCCTCCGCTGGCTCGGCTGTGGGATAACCCTTGCCAGGATAATGGGAGTAGGGATATGGCCACATCATATGGGGGTGCTTTGGAAACTGAGGCTTCTGGGTTGGCACTTGGGCATCTGTAGAGGATTCCTCCACTGGCTCGGCTGTGGGATAACCCTTGCCAGGATAATGGGAGTAGGGATATGGCCACATCATATGGGGGTGCTTTGGAAACTGAGGCTTCTGGGTTGGCACTTGGGCATCTGATGGAGGTTTCCCTGCTGGCTTAGCTGTGGGATATGGCCACATCATATTGGGATGCTTTGGAAATTGAGGGTTCTGGTTTGGTGCTTGGACATCTGCAGAAGATTCCTCTGCTGGCTTGGCTGTGGGATAACCCTTTCCAGTATAATGGGAATAGGGATATGGCCACATCATATGGGGGTGCTTTGGAAATTGAGGGTTCTGGTTTGGTGCTTGGACATCGCTAGAATGTTCCTCCGCCGGCCCAGCTGTGGGATAACCCTTTCCAGTATAATGGGAATAGGGATATGGCCACATCATATGGGGGTGCTTTGGAAATTGAGGGTTCTGGTTTGGTGCTTGGACATCGCTAGAATGTTCCTCCGCCGGCCCAGCTGTGGGATAACCCTTGCCAGGATAATGGTAACGAGGGTAGTAGTAAGGCCAAAACTCTTGTGGAAACACTTGAGGGTACCCATAAGGTAGAGGTTTGAGTGTTGCAGATAGTTCTGTCATAGTTATTGTAGTAACTTTATCAGAAAAAAGGGGAGGCAGCAGAATCTGTTGATATGAAAGAGAATGAGGTCCTATGAAGGTTTCGTTTGCAGTTGTAGAGGTCATAGGACAAGAAATGACTGCACCGTTTCCCTGCCACTGCATCTGCATTACATAACTCCCGCCCTGAAAGACAACATGAACAATACAGGTTGGTCTTCCTTACGCTGTGCTCATAATGCACTGAATAAAAAAAAAATAATAATTTAGTAAGTAGTAAGTAGTTGCAAACAACTTTTATATTTATAAAAAAAAAAAACTCATATATATATACACACACCCATACATACACACACACACAGTGGTGGGCCGTCATGGCCAGCAAAGCCTTCTCTGCTGGCCTAAACACTATCAGAATCACTGATTTAGTTTAATATATTTTTCCATGAATATATATTAAATTTCCAATAGTCTATTCTCTTCATTTCATAGCTTTTCTCTTGGTTGGACTGCATGTTTATATTAGAGCTTTTATCCAATCATATTTCAGCAATCGTGTTGCCAGGGTCAAATAAATCTGCCTTAAGGCCTTCAGAATCAACATTGCAAGTCTGTTAGCTTAAATCAGTGGCAATGAAACCATTGCTTTAATCAATCAGATTTCGAGTTGGCAGCACCAGGGCCATCTAGCTGGCGAACGATAACGTCAGCATTTTCTTGTCCTTTGACTGGATGGTCAGCATACTAGCTAACAAACAGCATCACTGTAAATCATTTTATTAAAACTTATTACGGTTCCTCAGGTTTAGATTTTCAGTGCATTTTGAAAACAGTTTCCCCAAGTGGAGCTGTATTAAGCGGTCTTTTCCTCCAGACCAGCGGGGAGATGAGTCACAGAGGTACGTTAAAACACATGTACACACTTTTCTTCATCGTCTTGTATGAATTATTTTAATGTTACTTGCTCACTTTCCTAGTAAAGCTGTGAGCTGTATTAAGCGGTCTTTTCCTCCGGCCGCATCGCCGCTGGCAGAGGCAGATCAGCGGCTGCGGGGAGATGAGAGTCACAGAAGTACGTTAAAACACATGTACACACTTTTCTTCATCGTCTTGTATGAATTTTAAATGTTACTTGCTCACTTTCCTAGTAAAGCAGTGCTAACCACTATTTTCCTCCTGCAGTGCGCTGGCAGACCGGCGGGAGACTCGTGAAGACGAAATAAAGCAGTAAGAGAACATTAAATTGTTAGGTCAACTTTAAAACACATGTAATCACCTTATTTGTTTTATACCAATGCTATCTGTAAGGTATAAATGCGTTTGGGTGAATAAATGTCTGTAAGAACATCGGATGGACTGTATTTGTGTCATTTTGTTAGGTTAATGCTTCAGCTACAGATGATGTGTTGCGCAATTGTTAATTGGGTTTCTTTCTTTAGTAATGGCATTCATTCTCGCTACATAAGATACCTGTCTGTTATGTAGTGCCCTGTTATACTGCATTACTGTGTAATATTTATGGTTTCTATAGCCGTGGCATCATTATGATGGTATGAAGAGATGGATTAATTCATGTAGGACGCCACTGAAGGCCTAGGTGTAAAATGCACGGCCCGCCACTGC